CACGGTGGATCGGCGAGGTTGGCGGCGCGTCGGCGGCGGTGCTTGTGCCGTCGGCCGACGTAGGTGGCGACGGCTTTAGCGTCTGGGCGGCAGGTGACGCGCGCGCGCGTGGTAAGTCCAGTTCGCATGTTGTCCGATCGGAGGGGGTGGCGGCCGACGCGGTGTGCGGCTGCTGTTGTGTCGGCCGCAAGCGTCGATGCCCCTCGAGAAGCTTCTGGGATGGCGATGGCGACGACGGTGGCGGCATGGCTACGGTCCAGCATCTTGGCTCGATGTATGTGCTAGGGGCACCTCGGGCGAAAAGCCTTGGCGGCAGCGGCGCTGTGGCGCGCCGTTTTCCTTTGTTGAGGCGTCGTGTTCTTGTGCCCCACCATGTCTTCCACGGTGAAAACCCGTCCCTTTCTGGACAAGCGACGGTGACGCATTCGGCGTCATACCCTTCCTGAAGTCGTCGCTGTGGAAATTCGTCTCGGCCATGATGTCTCCTTCGGCGGATGTCCTCCGCCTCTCGGCGCCCGGTTGATGAGAGACGGCGAGTTCTGCATCGCGAAGTCGGAGCTGCTGCATCAGGGGATGTAGCTCGGCAACGATGACGCATGTCGAACCCTCCTTCTCCGACGGCTGGGTTTTCAGCTTTAGAGGCTCGGCAATCGCCGCGGGTGGGGCGTGGGATCATGGCAGGAAGTCGGAGCTGCTCTTCGCGGGGCCATTGAGCTCGGCAACGATGACTTGCTGCAGCCTACTGCTTCGGGCCCGTTGGACTGACATCTTATGATGGGTTGTCGGTGTTTTGCCATGGGAAGTCGGAGCTGCTAGCTGCTTTGCAACTATGCTCGGCAACGATGACTCATGGTAGTGTGTACTCTGTCGCGTTGTGTGGGTGGGTAACCTGTCGTGGTGTTTGGCGCCACGCTTGGCTACCTTTTGCTTATATATAAACTTCATTCGTCTTAATTGAAAGGTAAAGCTCTTGCCATTGTTTCAAAAAAAAAGTAGAGCCAGCAAAGAGATGGAGTCCAAACAGGGACGCAGGTACTAAAAATTGCATTTTTTTTGCATATCCTGCATGAATCATGAGTCTTATTAACAATGTCTACATCTGTAGGTACCCTTGTAACAAAAGCCATGACGTCGGTAACAAAAGAAGTTAGCCAAGATTTCCTTGTGAACAAGGTTCTACCCGCAATCAAAGCAAAGTGGCATGCAGAAGAGAAAGGAATGCCCATATACATACAGCAAGACAATGCTAAGACTCACATTGATGTGAATGACCCTGCATTTGTTCAGGCCGCCCAAGCAGATGGTTGGGACATTAGGCTCACATGCCAACCTCCCAATTCTCCTGACCTTAATGTATTGGATCTCGGTTTTTTTTGCAGCGATTCAGGCACTGTTTGAAAAGGGAACACCAAACAACATTAACGACATTGTGGCAAAGGTTGATAAGGCGTATCAGGACTATCCTGTGCAAAGGGCCAACCGTATTTTTCTAACCCAGCAGGGTTGCATGATGGAGATCATGAAGCACAATGGAGGCCAGCACTACAACATCCCTCACATGAAGAAGAAAACTCTAGAGCTGCAAGGACGTCTTCCAACTACTCTGAGTTGCCCTTTGCAACTTCACAATCAAGCCATGCAGTTCGTCGCTAGTTAGAATTAGAAGTCACGTATGATGCTTTTTTTTTGTCGCTTTGGTTCGAGTAATGGAAACTGCAAGCAATGGCCCTGTTTGCTGGTATGAAACTTGGCTGAAAAACACTGTTCCGACTGAATTGTTGTAAGAGAAAAACATTGTTCGGTTGGTTTGATGAACAGTAAATTGAGATGGGGAGCAGCCGGCTGGCTGGTCAAACCAGACCAGCGAACTGCCCCAATATTATCCCTTGTTTTTCAAATGCAATTCATCTTGAACATGAAAATTTTCATCCATTAGCTAACAGAACTTACAGTACTGCTAAACTCAACACTAAAATTGCTCCAACTAATACTAGGACTAGTACAAGGAAGGGAAAATAATCTTGAACATGGACGTCTTAGTTTCTTCAAGCTTCTCAGCGTCCAGATCTCTATCTGGAATCTTTGGCAATCCATTAGAAACATTACAGTATCCACGAGGCCACGACCAATCCAAAGCAGGGTTGCTGCAGCATCATTGACGTCCTCCTCATGGCATCCATACAAGAGAGGCAATAACACAGGGAACATCAAACTAGAGGCTTCATGATTCACCTTGAAACTTGTTAACATCAGTTGAAGCCAGCTTCACTAGGGCATACACGGCGTCAGGTTCGTCGACTTCGGCGTCAGGTTCGCCGACTTCGGCGATGTCCATCTGGGAGTCCGGCACCTCAGTCTCACCTGCAAAAGTATCCATCACGAACTGCACCTCGCTGTCGGCCATGGGGTCTTCATCTTCGTCGGTAGAATCTGGTGCCCAGTTGACACCACGCACGTAATGGATCGCATCGTCGTCGTCCTGGCGATCCATCGCATGCAGGCATGCAGCAGCGTGGCGGCGTGGCGGTGGAGCCACTGGGCGTCGCGGCGGCGTGGATCGACTCGGCGGCGTGGAGGCGTGGTGTGCTGGACACTTTCACGAAGGCTAACGGGAGGGAACGGAGGCGGTATTTGAAGCAACATGAGTACGGCGCCGCATCAATTGCCGCGTTTCGTACGAGGAGCCTCGAGCGCCTAGGGACCAGGTCCGTAGCTTAAACGACGCCGACTCTTGGAAAACTTTTTTTTCTTCTCAGATGACTCCGATAAATGGACGGATCTGAGGCACCGTTCGCTGGTCTTAAAATCCTCGTTTTGTTTTTTTTTCCAACTTGAAATAGTATTTTTCTCTCATAACAATTTAGTTGGAACAGTGTTTTTATCTTGTTTTTTCAACTAAATTTAGCCAAGCGAACGGGGCATAAGCTTTCAAATCTCTTTTTATTGGCTCCCCTACGTTAATTTTGGTATTTCTATCTCTTCTCATATTATTAGTTTGGCTTAGGACTTCACAATACACTAGTGTCTTTAGAGGTCTCCTTTGGACATGGCCAAACCACCTCAACTGATGTTGGACAAGTTTTTCTTCAATTGGTGCTAGCTCTAGACGATCACGTATATCATCGTTCCGAACTCGATCCATTCTGACCGTAAATCCATCGCAACATACGCATTTCTGCAACACTCAGTTGTTGAACATGTCGAATCTTTGTATGCCAACATTCTGCTCCATACAACATAGCCGGTCTAATCGCCGTTCTATAGAACTTGCCTTTTAACTTTTGTGGTACCCTCGTCACACAGAATGCCAGAAGCTTATCGTCACTTGATCCACCCTGCTTTGATTCTATGGCTAACGTCCGTATCAATATCTACATCCCTCTGTAGCATCAATCCCAGATACCGAAAGGTATCCTTCTTAGGCACTACTTGACCTTCCAAACTCACATCTCCCTCCTCATGTACAACTCCGTCAAAATCACATCTCATATATTCGGTTTTAGTTCTGCTCAATCTAAAACTTTTAGACTCAAGAGTCTATCGTCGTAACTCTAGTTTTCTATTTACTTCCGCCTGGCTTTCGTCCACTAACACTACGTCATCAGCGAACAACATACACAAGGGATATCCTCTTATACGTTCCTGATAACCTCATCCATTACCAAGGCAAAAAGATACGGGCTTAAAGCCGATCTTTGATGAAGTCCAATTTTAATCGGGAACTAATCTATGTTGTCATCGTTTGTTCGAACACTAGTCACAAAAGAAATACAGAAAAATGCAAATAGAATTAAGAAACGATGTATCTGTATGTAAACAATACACATCCTATTGAGACATCTAAACATACATGTTAAATCGGTTCATGGAAATAATAACTACAAAGGATCATCTCGAAGAAAGCATAGGACGTCCAATGTAGTATATCCTGTATCCATATATCCATGTCCATTAGCAGTAATCTCCTCTCTATGTCCATTGTCCAGCCTGTAAGGATGTAAGCAGGCACCGACTCCTAGTTGACTTGCTAGAAAATTTCGAAAGAAAAAAGAGTGAATACAGTACAGTCAAATAATAGGCATATATATGATATGCACGGAGCGGCGTACGCATGCAGAACCGGATCAGCCGGTAATTGGTGATAAAACTAACCCACGGTCGACGGTAAAAAGCGCCAGATGGCATAACGTTGTTGGCGGAGGCCGTTTTTAGTTTTATTCACGGTTGAAGATCATCTAACTTATTTAGAGCAACTCCAAGAGATAATGGAAATTTAGCTCTCTAAACTGGCTTTGTAAAATAATATAAACTCTTAAAATAGATACGGTTCGCAACAGACTCGCGAGATTAGACTCTCTATTTTTTTTTTAAAGTGACCACGTCATCACTAATTCAATCAATTTTGGTCAAATCCGTCACTCTTTTTATCCTTCAAAACAACACGATAAGTAATTTGTGTTGCGTTCTTCATCACCATCACCAGATGCCAAGACATGCATGATACGAGCAATAGAGCGGTCACCTGTGCCGCGCTTGATTGCTTTTGATTGGACACGTGAGTGATGAACGGTGCAGCAAAATTTAATTGTCCCTGTCAGCCGAGTGGAGTTACAGAGGGAGGGGAAAAGGAGGCCACGAGGGCGTGAGAAATGGCCGGACAAGACGTATGGCTAGCGAAGCCCGCTGGCTTAATTTGCCGACCGGAAAAAACGGGATAGCTAGTATGGCATCTTACAAATGCTGATAGCGAGTCTCTTGGATCCTCTTTTTTCTTAATTTTGCTAATGACGAGTGAGATACAATGTCTCTTGGAGTTGCTCTTACGTCACCACTTTAGCCCACCTGTCCTCACATCTCTGCTGTCTGCAATTCCTCTTGACACAAATCGGTACTAACATAGCAGTAGTTTGAATTTACACTAGGAACATTTACTTAGCCAACTCTACACGGAAACTGAAGTACTGTCCAAAGTTCACTTCACTAATAACAGCTACTTGTATTCAATCTTTTCTTATCCAAATCCTCTCCTTTGCAACCCTGACGTTTTCCTGCAGATCGATATACTTCTCAACTGAGGTTTCTGAGAAGGCTTTGAGCTTTTCTATGAATCTCAACAGACTCGGGTGCAGATCAGTCGGGCCATGACTTGCTCCCCCTGCTTCGTCATTTGGCACCTTCTCTTTGTGAGGAATGGAGCGGCTTATGTCTGCAATGGGACCTTTGATGGCTTCTTCTAAGTCCGCGGTTGGTAAATCATCCAGAAGCTTTATCCACATCTCGCAGGTTGTGAAGATTGGCGCGACAGCAGTCTCCGTTAGCGAAGCATCAACGGTGTTCCGGTTCCTGGAGACCTTCCTCCTCTTCAGGGGTTTCATGCATTTGTGCAACCACAGGTTTAGGCTGCAGAGGTACGCCTTGTGGGATGCCATCCAGTTCTGGAAGTTGGAACATAGTTTTCTCAGCTCAACCGAGAGGAGAAACCCGGCCTGGCGTTGAGATTCTGACTGAAATGATATTTTCAGGTCGCAGCTTCTGGATGCTAACTTGATTATCACACATTGGCACTGATGGCACTCAAGCATTGTAGCCCACATCCTAGTGAAACTGCAGGGAGAAGAGATTCTCTATCAGATGAGCACAGCAATCAGTCAGTATATAAACATATAAATCATGCACATTGCCTATTGCGATAGTGCACATTCTTTTAAGATAATATGACACATATCTTGTTATGACGACTAACACATCTATATGTCATGTTATAATGCACAGGAACAGCATCTTTTTGCATACACCGATAGACAATGAGACAGACAAGAGACATACCATCCAATTAGTTCATCCAGCTGTGGTTGAAGATATTTATCCCTTACATCTTCTATGTTCTTAGAAATGAAGCCTATTTTGTGAACAGCCACTAGAACTCTGGAATGCAAGCCCTTCATAGAAGCACGGGTAAAATCAATATCAATTTGATTTCCCCCTCTTGATTCCTGGTGTCTCAGTTTCTTGCATCTCTCATCATACCTCCTGCAGATGGCGCCGCTAGCCTGAAAGCAGAACAAGACAGATTACTTCTAGGAATCTCAAACTCTGATTCTGGAACACATATAAAATTGATTAATACTGTACAACATCCAGAAAGGAGCTACTACCTTAACTTCATCATAAAGTTTGCTCTCCCATGCATACAACCTATCAAGTGTGGAGATATGGCTGCCAGCATTAATCCCAAGAGAAATTCTAGATGGTGACAATTGTGAAGACACTGATCTATGCCAGGTAAGGTACTTCATCACGGCTTGAGGAGGGGCTGCATTAAACCATGGTGGATCAGATTATTTGTACAGTTGGAAGGCCAAGTATTCTATTCAACAGTAGAAACCGAAATGCTAATAGCTGAAATAAATGTAGAATAATATCACATTACAATTACTCCCTAAAAGAAACCTTTTGCATCTATATTTGTAACACAGGAATAGCAAAAGCCTTCGTTGAAGGGGGGAAAAGTCAAACTAATAGTTTCAGGCAAAATTAACTTACATTCAGGAACAGTGACATCCTCTCTACAGCAAGCAAACAGTGTTGCCAGAAAACTTGTTGGCTTTGATCCATGTGCTGCAGAAATTTATTTTTTAGTTTAATATTAATTCTATCACAGGGGGTAAGAGAAACTTGGAAAAATGGTCATAACCAGAAAGCTATTCACTTGATAGCTAACCTATTTCTTCAGGTAGTAGAGGGCGGAACTGGATTTTATCTTCCTCAAGAATTCTTGGGACTTCTTTTCCAGAATTGCATGCCCAAAAGAATAATATCTCAATCTCTTTCATGCATGTATTTAAATCTTTTACCACGTTACCTACATCAGTGGAAGGTTTCTTCGACCTCCCAATCACTGTCCTCTTATTTTTGGAGTCGTCACTACAAGAATTAGTACTTTGTGAAGCAATATTTTCTGAAGCGTGTTGTGAAGGTGAGTGAGTATTATCAACAAGCACATCATTCCGGTTCTTGAACACGGGCGCCCTAGTTTCAGTGGATGGATTGTCCAAGTCATCTTCTAGCTCTGCAAAATCATCATCTCCCTCGCTGTGCTCAGGGATCCCTTCCTCACGGAGGCTCCTTAAACCATCAGCATTTTCAAAATTCTGACTGACCTCTCTAGCAGCAGGGAATGAAGATTGAGCGGTTACTTCTGCGGGTGCTGTCATGGAGTTCCTCCTAGCATTCATATGATTGACATGCAAAAGAGGTGGCGAAACATTTGGGATTGACTCTTTCAGCACTTCAGGTTCAAAACATTTCCTCAGAAGAGAAGTGGTTTCTCTCAGCGACAGAATATAAGCGCGGTGAGAAGCTGCAAGTGCACATCTTCCATCTAACGCTTCTCTAACAAAACGCTTCCTCTCCTGGCATAGCACAAGGACCTTGTCATCTTCGAGCTTAGAAGGCGCCACCCCCATTTTTGAAGAGCAACAGCACTCAGAGCCTCACGAACAATACTTGGTCATGCCAATTTGAGGCCATCAACGAACGATTTGCAAGTGATAGTGTCTGTGTGATGTGGCTTTTTGTCTCTGATGCTGAAAGACTGCAATAGTTTGGAATCTTCCCAGTTAGACCATATACTAAATTTATAACGATCTGAATTTTCTTCTTAATAAGATAAGAAGAAACAAAAAAGCATTCACCCCAAGCGGATCACTTCACCTTCACCAATCCATTCCATTTTACTATAGTTGCATCCAGTAACTACTTTTCATAATTTTTACAGCAAAGGCACAAAACCGGAAACCATCTTTCCATAAAAGAATATCAGACATAAAGTTAGCTGTCCACATTTAAGTTGTAGTATAGCAAACTGTCCGATTGAAAATGGGCATTGTCGGTGGTGAAAAAAGGTTTCCTTTAAGAAATTTGTTTTGTTTTGTCAAGGTTCGATAGATGTAATACAACCAAAAAAAACTTGCATCACTAAACATCATCATGATATGTGCATGATAACATGACTATAGCAATAGCCTATAGGTGCCTAGGGTTGTTGATGGAATTCTGTACCAAATCAGCCCAAAAACGACACTATTGCCTGCTCTAATGAAAAGAAAAGCAGACCATTTACATAATTACATTGCCGGCTACCAAATTCGACCAAGCTTACTCTCCATGAGGTGTAAACCTGTAGTTGTCGTTTGCGTGGAGAGAAGATGCACATCACATCACTCATGATCAAATCGACGGCCAGACGGCCAGTAGTGTAAGCACACGCAGTTCACCCAAAACAATTTTTCGGAGATAAATTAAAAATCACCTTGTTTCTACAGCGACTTGGACTCTTGGAGCGCGAAGGGCGCCAAATCCCCACGGGGGCACGGGGCCGTGCCGTCGTCTCCGTTCCCGATCGACTGCTCACCGCCGCCGCCCCTGTGAGAAGCGAAAAGACGCGCCGCTCGGCTCGCACAGGCAAAGCAGGGGACGCGGAAGTGGAAAGGTGGCACCACCGCCACGCGCGGAGTGCGAGGGCAGGGAAGGCGCCACGCCATTGCCGTGGGCTACGGAGAGAGCAAAGCGCCGACGGCGATCCGTCCGCGTCCCTCTCCATGAAATCAATCGGCCATGGCGGAGTAACGTGCAGACGTCAGACGTGCCTGTGCGTGGCACGGGGGCCTATCCTCCCGGTGGGCCCCGCCGTCCGAGTGACGTGATGTAGAGGCAGATCGCATTTGAGAGGCCCATTCGAGTGGAAACGGCTCGGCCCATTGGAAAAGACGAGGGCCCGCCTGAACCCGCTCCCATTTCAAGATGGACCTCTCGCTCTCTTTCCCGTGTTGCGCATGCGCTCCGCTGGTGGTCACCATTTTCCTTAACAAACCAAACCAGCAGAGGGGCAGCTGTTAATCGCAATTAGTGCGCGCTAATCAAATGCTCCTCTGCCCTCCCGACCGTTGCTACCCCATCAACCATAATCCCACACCGCCCTGCCGCGGCCGCCGGCTCCACTCCACTCTACTCGATTCGCCTCGCCTGAGATTCTTGCAGGTTTGCCCCCACCCCTCCTCCTCCTCTACTCGATCCGTCAATCCAATTACCGCTGGAGTTTAGTTTCGGTACGAGTTGCTGCAGAGTGGTTCGAATTCCGCGTCGGGTTTTGGGAGATCGACGCGCTGGGGCGTGCAGGATCGGAAGGGCGTCCGTGGGTCGGCGGCGGCTCCGGGATCGAGGATCGACGGGGAGTGGTTTTGCGAGGCGAATTTCCGTTGGGGTTTAGTTTTGGAGGTTCGGTTGTCGCTCCTGGTTATGGATTGAGAGGGGTTGTGTTGGGTTTTTGGGCGATTCGGTGCCCTGGGTTCGAGGATCGAACAAGTATTGTTGCCTTTTCTAGTGTCCTTGTGCCCTTGCGTGTAGCCTGTTTGACTGATTTCCTATTAGAAGTAGGCATGAGCATGTATGCGCTTCGGTTGGGAGTTCGATTCCTTGCCAAGGATACGGGGAACTATGCCCCTGTTAATATTTTTGTTTACTTTTCGGATAATTCGTGAACAAAGGATTTGTTGTCTTGCCTTGTTATTCAGCTATGCAAATTACGATCTAATGTGTCTCATGGTTAGTTCTTTGCTGATTACAATATGCAACCCATGCAGGGACTAGTTTGTGGGGGAATCCCGAATCAAGGAACCTGTGAATCCTCGACACTTCTGAAACATGAGAAGATTCTTTTTCTTTGGGTCCCCTGCTGCAACCCGGGTGGTGAGGGAAATGAGCAACCGATCAGTGATAATAAGACTAGTAGACATAAAAAGACAGATGAGGGAAAGGACAGTTCCGGTTCCTGCAGCACAAGATTGTCGAGATCCAGAAGCCGTCGTCAGAAGCGGAGCAAGGAGGAACCAGCTAATCCCAAGCAACTCAGGAGGTCCATGTCGTTCTCATCCCCGGCCAGAAACAGTTGTGTGGATGAACGATGCTTTAGCTTCTCGGGTGATGTTCCATGCTCTTTGTATGATGAATCTGATGCACCCCACCATGCCAAAGATGTCGTGTAAGTGGTCATGTTACCTGATAATTACTGTCCGTACTACTTACAATACAAGATGTTTACTTTTGATTGAAATGATAGTAGAGTATTGGCTATTAGCCCCTGTTGCCTATTTGCCATTTGATCCGTGTTAAAAAAAAATCTAGAGAAAAGAGAAATGCGTCTAAAAATAAGAAAGGAAATAGCAAATACATCGTGATATGTGAATCTGCAAACTCTACTCATTTTAGCTATTATTCTGAATGCTCATTTATTTTTTGCAAAGGAGGCCGTCTTTATGATTGTTCAGTTTCAGTGCACATGCAGATTTTCTCTGGCATCTATGAATGATTTATACTGGGTTTGATTGCATACAAGTTATGTTCTTCCATTTTTCACTCAAATATATATTCTTGTGATTGACTTCAAAGGTGGTTCAAGTAGGTTCCATGGTGTCCTGTGACACCAATGTCTATAGAAATAGATGCTTTATATTTTTCGTTAGATAGATGACACCATGATGCAATGGAGATTGCACAAGTAGTTCTTCAGTTTAGATCCACCCTTGTTTAGTTCCTCTTTACTACTAGCGTTTTTGTGGTTGGAAGCCCAACTATAAAATCCATACTGATGTCATCCCATTTCCAGCTTGGGATAGACAGTGGCTGCAGTAGTCCAGCTGGCTTCAAATGGATGGCTTTGACCCGACAGCAATTATTGCATCTAGCAACAAATGCTGTCCACCAAAAGCGTGTTTTCAGGTCTTGGTACATTTTACTGCTACCTGGGTGAATGGACAAATTGGAAGAGTGTGCTTCCTCTAGAATTTGGTTTCTCAATTCACTATCTTTCAGCACTACGAGTCGATCCTTAAACCACAGCACACCCCTCACATCTAGCCGAAAATGCTTGGTTTCTTCCTCTTTCATCTTGCTTTTGATATGGAATATACCCACGTTGGTCTTTTGGAGCTCAATGATTTTAGACTCAAGAGAGCAACTAACGGTGATATTGTGTAAGACTGCCAGATGCAATAAGTTGAAACCATCTTCCAACAAAGGATTACACTGATACTTCCGGCTTAAGGCGTCATATCTGAAAAATGATTTTAACAGTATATCTTAACTTGCAGTCCCGACATGTGGTCGCCAGAAGGGAATCCGTTCTTGAGAGAATATGCAATAAAGACCCCAAAAGGTCATTCTGCCATGGAAAATGATCCTCCTCGTTCAAAATGCTGTTCATGCTCAGCTGGGCACTCTCCTATTGCTATACAATGCAGATCAACAAGACTAAGCAATTTATTAAACAAGAATGAAGTACTAGATCGGTACATTGATAGAGGGCATGAAGATGCAATCGTAAATGAGAAACAGAAGCAGGGCACCCCTGTCACATCTATGGTTTCTAATTTGGGAAGGCCACCTCGACCCCAGTCTACAGTACCATCCATACCAAAATCAATGAAAGAGAAAACAGAGAGCTACCCAGAGACGCCTTCCTTTGGCGACTTGCTCAAGAGGTCACAGGAGATACCCACAAGATGACAACTATGTGCAGTGCATTTAGACGCCACATAAGCATGTCAGAAGCTTCTGAAAGAGAAAGTTCAACATCTGTTGGAGATATTTATGAAGATTTGCAAGATGTGAGACTTCCAAATGTTGTCTGCCCCTCCACTTGTCCTACTTCAGGTATGACTTCACGTTGCTCCTATCATTGTAGGGTCATGCTTTTGTGATGCTTCTCAATATTTTTATGATGATGATATATATATATATATATATATATATATATATATATATATATATATATATATATATATATATATATATATATTTGCATCAGCGGAAGACGAAACCGATGACATGCTTCTTCAAAGAGCTAAAGAAGTTGAGTCAAGGTTTATTATTCCTTGTGGAGATGAATATGAATTCAGCATGCTCAGGGATAAACCATTGACCTCAAATGACATGTTTCAGTTGATCCAGCAATTGACTGAAGATAGGAAACAATTAGCACATGAATTGTCTTCAGAGATCAAGGCACGTGTTACAGAAAGGTTTGCTGCAAAAGAGCAATGCAAACAAACAAAGAAAGAATTGGACACCAGAACTAGGAGACTGGAGAAGGAGAAGAGTGAAGTACAACCTGTTAGCTAATCTACTGCTACCTTGTATGAACACAGCAGAGGAAGGCGGCGCCGACTTAGCCGCCTGCTGTGTGTGAACACAGCAAGGGAAGGCGGCGCCGACTTTGCCCCCTATTTGTGATCTGATACAAGAGCAGCCGCAGTGCGCGCCAAGACGCACCTCACCTGCAAAGATCAGAGGAACAAGGCGTTGCCGCGCAGTAGTCACCCACAGGGTTATCTAGTTATCGTGCCAAATGGACGCTGCACATGGACTAGATAGTTAGAGTTGTATAAATAGACATGTATGACAACTCAGT